TGAGAAAGGAGGTTGATAAAAATTACAGCCTTTTGAGAAAGAGGCACATTGATTGATTGATTGATTGATTGATTGATTGATTAAGACAGGGTCTCGCTATGTAGTTCAGGCTGTCCTTGAACTAACTGTAGTCCAGGCTGACCTCAAACTCAGTGGCGATTCTCCTGCATGCTGGTATTACATCCTCCTGCCTTAGCCTCCTGAGTGCTGCGATTACAGACGTGCATCATCATGCCTAGCAGAAAGAGGCACTTTTGGTTACTAAAATTGGAGGGGGAAATAAAAGCCCCCAAGTGAAAAACCCGCAGCCTAGATATTAGTAAAAGATTGTATCAATGGTGTTTACTTAGAAACATCAATGAATTTGTGGCATAGCAGGTGGTTCAAATTCAACTTTTTTATTATTATTATTTGTTTCTTTTTTTTCAGACAGGGTCTCGCTGTGTAGTTTAGGCTGGCCCTGAACTCACGAGGCAGCCCAAGCTGGCCTCAAACTTGCAGTCATCTTCTTGCCTCAGTCTCCTGAGTACTGGGATTACAGGCTTGTGGCATCACACCAGGTTCACATGGGACTTTATAGTGACACCACAGTTTGAAGTATTCAGGATCTAGTTTATGATACTGATGACTTACAATAAAGTTAGCAAGTGTTTTTTCAGTGTAACTTAGAGAAAGCCAGATACTGCTTTTATCATATCTATGATTTAAACATTCAGATGATACAGAATATTCTGTATAATATCAGAATCACAAATACTAGAAGAAGAAAAAGAAGAAGAAACTAAGATTACGTTGTCAACAGATGTAGTTTGTAGTTTAAGTCTTAGAGTATATTCCTATGGTGCAGATCTAAGACAAGAAAAACACTTTGAATTAAGTTTGTACTAGAACATGTTACACACTGCTTCTCTTATCAAAAAAGTCTTGCTACCAAAGGAAAACAAAACTAGAAAATCTAAAGACACTGTACTTGCTATAGTAGCAAAACTGAATTATGTAAATTCACATCATGGGTTCACTTTTTAAATATATGATAACAGAAGCTGATCATATGATACAAAGCTGATATGATACAAAGCTGATCATAAATGTCACTATGGAACCCAGGCTGGCCTCAAATTTGGGCAATCTCCCTGCCTCAGCCTCCCAAGTACTGGGATTATAGACGTATGGCACCACACCTGGCTCTAAATACAATATTTTTTAAAGTGCTGGGGTTATAGCTCATTGCAAAGGCCCAGACTTCAGTCCCCTGTACTGGAAAAAAGAACTTTGAAAATACAACATGACTAGCTTCATTTTGTACAAAGGTAAAAGTAAAAATCCCAAATTTAATGAAATTGCTTTAAATGCTGACTGTGGCACTATATGCCTATAGTCCCAGCTACTTGGGAAGCTGAAGTGGGAGAACAGCTTGAGTTCACTAGTCAGAGACCAACCTGGGCAACATGGTGAGATTTCCATACCAGAAAAAAGCAAAAAAAAGGTCCTAATAAAAAATAAAAATTGGGCCAGGCATGGTGGTGGATGCCTGTAACTCCAGCACTCGGGAAACTGAAGCAGGGGATCACTGTGAGTTCAAGGCCAGCCTGACCTATATAGGAAGACACTGTCTCAAAAAACCAAAATTTACACTTCCATTCACTTATCTCTGTAATGGATTTGATGGGGCATAGTACTGGGGGTTGAACCCCGAAGCACTGTACCACTGAGCTACATCCTCATCCCTTTTAAATTTTTGAGACAGGGTCTTCCTAGGGTATTCAGGCTGGACTCAAACCTGTGATCCTCCTATCTCAACTTCCCAGAATGCTGAGAGTGCAGGCTTGTACCACCAGGCCTGGCTAAACACATTAATATTTATATTATGCCACAAGTTTCTTCCTTTTTTTTTTTTTCCCCCTGGGACCTACTGAGGCCTCTTCATTTTTGAAAGCAAATGGATGGTAATTTAAAGTAGTGGATTGGTATTCAGTTGGTATTCCACCATTGGCCAGAAGAGGGCAGCCCCATGCCTGTCAAAAAGAAAACAGAAAAGTGAACACTTTCATAAACTATGTATATACTCTTACATGTGTATTTTATTTATATTTCAAAATCAGTACATGTTTATTATTTTAAAAGTCATCCGTTACAGAAATACATAAAAGAACATGTGAAAGACCTCTTTAATTCCTGTACCTAGACAGGCAGTGTAACCACTGAGCTAAATCCCTGGCTTAATTCCCGTACCTAAAGAGAACAAAAACAGTAGTTGGTATGTTAGCAGAGTTTTTTTCCCTTAATTTATACTGTACTGGAATTAGGTATTATAAAGAATTCTCTTGGGGGACCTTGAGCAATACAAATTTTAATTGGCAACCTATATACAGATTTGGCATGTGGATTTGAACATTTTTTTAATCTCATGATGTCATTCTGCTTTTTCTCTCTTTGTGTCAAGTTAAGGATATTACTGCATCTTTAAAAAATGAGAAAGCAAGTGATGACTGGGAAGAATTTGCGAAGCATAAGCATAAGGTAGTGTTAGCACAAGTCAGTCTTTCTTCTTTAAACTATGTTTTACTTGTTAAATTTTGGATTTTTGCCATTTTGTTTTTTCCTCCTTGAACAATCTATAGTATATTAACCCAGGTAATGAGGGGAAATAGTATTTTTTATCCTTCCCTGTCATATAACCAGCTGTGCCAGTTACCTCAGACTTTCCTAACTGATTCACCATTTGGAAAAGGCCAGTCATGGAAAGTTTCTCACCAAATAAAGAATTTCAGGAAGTACTGAGTAAGTAAAAATGAAGTTAAAATGGAATTTCTGCTGAGAACACTTAAATTAATGCTAATAATAGGCCTTTTCCTGTCAGGGTGCTTCTTGTATGGGAAATGGTCTGTAACTTAACTGTTCTCCTATTAGAAGATATTCTGATAGCCACCTCTCTTATAGCTTGTTAGAAGTGGAACTCTTTAGGTGACTGAGACAGAAGGATTACAAGTTTTGGCAACTATGCAAGACCCTGTCATACAATTAAAAATACAGAAAGGGCTGGATAGCTCAGTGTTGGAGTGCTCCTGAGTTCAATCTTCAGTGCTGGGTGGGGTGGGAGGCATACTGTTAATGCAGATTCATTTACTAATATTACTTTGTGTCAGTTATCAAAGTCCCTGGGGAATGTATCCATTTATATGTTTCCTAATCAGTATGGATAAGACTTTGGCTCTAAGAAACTAAGATATTCCCACAGGTTGTATTTACTTCTTGCCCTCTCTGTGCCACGTACTGTGTATCACGTGTCACCACGGTTCTCTTGTCATTCGCTGTCCTGCCAGACTATGAGCTCCTTAAGGGCAAAGGCCACATCATTCATCTTTATATGTTTAACATCTAACACAGTGCCAGGATCTGTGTGGCTTTTTGAGAAAATGTTTACCTATGTGGCCACAACCAGAGTCTCATCTGTGCTTAGTAAAATGAGTAACAATGAAACCAAACATGACACAATACTAAGTACAGAAGTGAGATAACCCTTAGAAAGAAAATTTGTCCTGAGAGGTGACTAAACAGATACTTGAATTTTCTCAGAGATAGGATTTACCTCTGGATGATGTGCTTGGACAGTCACAATAGTGATTGTAATCTTGGACCCTCTTGCCGATAGATTGGAATTTAGAAATTCCTCCAATATTTTTGTTGACCTGACAGCTGAAGCAGGCACTAGGTATTTCTCCTCTCTTTATCTGAAATTTAAGGCACCATAAGTGTCCTTATTTGATCCTTTAGGATTCAATTTTATTGTGCACAGCTTTTCCAGATTTAAATTGGTCAAATTCCATTTTTTTTTTCAGTACCTGGGATCGAACTCAGGCCCTTGCAATTGCCAGGCAGGCATGTCACCCCTGAGCTACATCCCCGGCCCTCAAGTTTTATTCTGACACATCAGATTTATCCAGTTTCAAGAGATTTTGTTTCATCATTGGGTGGTTTTATGTGTAGAACAGAAAGGAGCCTTCTGTAGAGTATTTCCAGTTGTTTATAACATTGCTTTTTTTTGGAAATAATTCTGTTGTTTTTTTCTCCCCAATATTCTGTCTCCACACCTCACTTTTCACTGGACCTTTGAGTCAGAGGCCTGATGTACATGTGAGGTACAATGTGAGGGCCTTTTTCAGCCTTCAAACCAGTAACCCCTAGAGGATGAGACTCAGTGGTGACTGCTGGAGTGTGCCTCTTTGTCTTAGTCACTTTCTTGTCACTAGGACAAAACACTCAATACCCACAGCTTAAAGGAGGAGAGGTTTATTTTGCCTCACATTTGGTTTCTTTTGAGACAGGGTCTTGCTATGTAGTTCAGACTGGCCTTGAACTCACTGTGAAGCCTAGGCTGGTCCTGAATTTACAGTGATCCTCCTGCCTCAGCCTCCCAAGCGCTGTAATTACCGGCATGTGCCACCACGCCCAGCTCTGGTTCACATTTTAGAAGTTTCAGTATTTTCATGGTTAGCTAGCTCCAGGCAGAAGCAGCATGGTGACAGGGCCTGGGCTTAGGAAAGCTGCTCATTTCATAGCAGACAGGAAGCAGAGTGAGGGGAGGAGCTTGAAAAGGAGATACACCCTTCTGAGTTAAGCCCACAATGACCTGCCTCTTCTGATCAGACCCTACCTAAAGGCAAGACAACTATAGTTCGTTCATAATCCAGTCACTTTCCAAACACCTGAGGTTTTGGGGGCCATTTTAGATCTAAACCATAATATTTGTGCTAACAGATGTAGTGGAGAGGTTTTAGGGAGATAAAATTCATATACAGTGTTGTATTATTTATTAATTTTAGTCAGAAATTGTCTAGAATTGTTATAGTAAACTTTTTAATCATAAAGTTCAGTATGCATAGTTTATTAAAAGGCCAGTGGTGGATATATTCCTAGTTGTCATTTTTTTCCTTTTTCTTAAATTTTGTTTCTCTGTCCATATTGTTTTTGTAAATTTGGTGTCTCTTTGCTTGGAACAGGGTGACTAAGGAAGTGGATGCTACGTCTAAAGAAGCCAAGTCCTTCTTCAAGCAAAATGAGAAGGAAAAACCACAGGCTAATGTCCCTTCAGCTGTGCCATCACTCTCTGCTGGGTCAGGGTGAGTACTTGAGTCTCAGTCCCAGGAGTAGTTGGCATGCTGAAATAGCCTTTTTCAGTGTGGGGACCTGCTTTCCCTGCAGCTCTGTGACTCCTTTTATGAGAATAAATTATGCTGCTTCTCTGCCTTTGCTGAAATATTTACCAAGATGGAAGATGCAAAGGAAAGTGAAGCATAAGTTTATTGTTGAAAGAAGCCCAGATTTAGTGTTTTGACTACAGAGCTGAACATGTACATTTTACATTACCATAATACTTTTTGAGTGACTGTATTAGTAGTGCATCAGAATTTTCACTGAGGATTTGGGCCGAGTACCTGTTCCCATCCGGCATGACTTGACAGGAACATAGAAAGGTCAAGCTGAGGACAGTAGTGCATCTGTTTAGTACCAGCCACTCAGGACACTGAGGCAGGAGGATGCTTGAGTGCAGAGGTTTGAGGTTAACCTGGGAAAAATAACAAGACCCTATCTCAAAGAAAAAAAGATGATTTCCAAATAGTTCTTTTAATGTATTGTCAGGAACTTAAGTGTTTTCTCCTTTGGAATTTTCCATATTACTAGAGTTATTTTTACCTGAGGTCTAGAATTCTTTCTCTTTAGAAGAAGTGAGACTTCTTTTCTTTTTAACCTATATGTAAGAAGTAAAGTATCACAGTAAATAAGAAAAGCTTAAGGTTGCCACCCATGAAGAAGTGAACATAGTCCACCTCCCATGTGGAGCCCTGACCATGCAGCTAGCTCCTACAGGGCAGGCTCTGTTTTGTTAACCCTCTCGGTGTTAGGGGTAGAATGGGTCTCTAAACTGGCCTCTCTGACTCTTTAGTTAGAAATCGTTACCCCAATCAGTAAAGTTTCTGAGCTTTTCCTGGGACAAGCTTTTCTCACCTTTGTAGCCTTGGGTCTGAAAACAGTGTTACACTGGCACGCTCTCTTAGGATGCACTTCCCCACAAGCAGACCCTGAGGCAAAGGTTTGAGCGTAAGTCATTTGTGTGAGAGGTGACTCCAGGAGGCCCTGGAAGGGAGGCACCTAGTGAAGAGTTCTCAGTCAGGTTACTCAGTCCTGCTGGGGAACTTGAGAGACTGTAAAGAACAAGCAAGGGGCGAGGAGGCTGCAGTGTTTACCTCTAGCTCCAGCAAGTCTTTTTGGCTCAGCTGCTTCCACACTTCCCTACTCTTTGTCCTTGGGCTGGGAGCTCCAGATGCTTGCAGTAATTGCTGTGATTAATGTGAGGAGACAGAATGGTGCTTGATTCTCCACAGCTGCTGCATCATCTGTATCTGCTACATACTCTTGACCTGCCTGCCTAGAGTATTTCTCCCCTGTGGAGCACCCAGGTAGCAGGAGCCACATAGTAGTTACACAGACACCTCAGTAGGGGCAAGGGATTTGGCTGCTTGTACCACAGTGGACATGATGTGAAAGCAGATGAAGGTAGCTGTAGGGAATTAGAACTTCATGGAATGTGAACAGAATTCTCCAGACCTGACCGTGTTGATACTTAGGGCAGTACTGTTGCAAACTGTAATTTGCACTCATCACTTAAAGTATTAGTACATTATATGTAGTAAGATTAAATACTATTTTATAGAAATTTTTTTTTTTTTTGGTACCAGAGATTGAACTCAGGACCTTGCACTTGCGAGGCAGGCATGGTGCCACTGAGCTAAATCCCTGGCCCTATTTTATAGAATTCTTTTAGTTACTGATATACTTAACTGGGTGACAGACTGTTTTTAGTAAGAGTTGAGGAAAAATGTGAATCTGTAGACTGAAGGAACATGTGTTTATTCTTTTTTTTTTTTTTGATGTGTTTATTCTTATATTCATTATATTATTTGAAAGGGGCTCTCATAAGACTAGTAGCTTTCAGATTTTCTGGATTGCCACCATTGTAAGGAATGCATTCTACATTATGCCTCATTACACCCACAAAAGTAAGTTTGTAAGCTGGATGTGGTAGTGCACACCTGTACTTCTAGCAGTCTAGGAGGCTGAGGCAAGCAGATTGTAAGTTTGAGCCCAGGCTGGGCAACTTAATGAGACCTCATCTCAACAAAAAGGGCTGAGAATGTAGCTTGGTATGAAGGCCCCGGGTTCAGTCCCTAGGATTGGGGAGGGTTGAGGTATCTAGCTGGACACAGTAGTACAGGCCTGCAATCCCTGCTGTTCAGGTGGCTCAGGCAGAAGGATTGAAGCAAGGCTAACCTGAGCAACTTAGACCTTGTCTGAAAATGTAATTTAAAAAAAAAGCCAGGTGTGGTGGTGCACACCTGTGATCCTGAGCACCATGAGAGACTGAGGCTGGCGGATTTTAAGTTTGAGCCCAACCTGAGCAATTTAGGGAGACCCTGTCTCAAAATACAAAAAGGGCTAGGAATGTAACTCAGTGTGAAGGCCTTTGGTTTAATTCTTGGTAACATACACACACACACACACACACACACACACACACACACACACACACACGAAATGATACTTCAGTGCCAAGAATTGAACCTAGAGTCTTGTACATGCTAGGCAAGTGCTCTGCCACTGAGCTAAACCTGCAGTGTGCACACAGTACACACACCCTTTGTTCTGTTTTTATTTATTTATTTTTTTGGTACCCGGGATCGAACTCAGGGCCTTGCACTTGGGAGGCAGGTGCAGCAGCGCTGAGCTAAAGCCCCAGCCCTACCCTTTATGCTTTTTGAGAGAGGATGTTGCTCTGTTGCCCAGGCTCATCTCAAACTCCTGGGCCCATATGATCCTCCTGCCTCCTTTGTAGCTGGGACTACAGGTGTGCACCCCTGTGCCTGACTGGGTGAAATGATATTTACTCTTTATTACATATAATTCACTCTGATTTTCTGTTTTCCATTTTTGCATAGTTTGTGTCATTTAAAGAAATGTTATGACCTGCTAAATTGATGTTGCCGTCTGCAATACCTGAATTTGATAGATATTTCTCTAGATTACATACAAAGTCAGCCTTCAGAAGGTTTTTATGTGGGTTACTAGATTTGTCACAGTTTATCTGGTATTATTAAACAAGTATCTGGCTGGTGTGTGGTGGCCTGCGCATGGTGGCACATGCCATAAGGCAGGAGGATCACAAGTTTGAACCTAGTCTGGGCAGCTTAAGGAGACTTTGTCTCAATATTTTATTTTTGGTACCAGGGATTGAACTCTGGTCCTTGTGCTTGCGCAGCAGGTGGCAAAACCGCTGAGCTAAATCCCTGGCCTCAATATTTAAAAAAAAAAAAATTTTTTTTAAAGGGCTAGGGCGGAGCCAGGCATGTGGTGCATGCCTATAATCCCAGCACTGGAGAAGCTTGGGCAGGAGGATCGTCATGAGTTTGAGGCCAGCCTGGGCTACATAGTGAGTTCAAGGTCAGTCTGAACTACATAGAGAGACCCTGTCTCAAAAACAAAAAAAATAAAGGGCTAGGGAAGTAGCTCAGTGGTGGAGCACCCCTGGGCTCAACCCTTAGTACTACCAAAAAATTCTTTTCCTTGCATTTATTAAAAGTGTTATAGAAGTGCCCTCTGGATGTAAGTACCAGATAGAAATACAGGCAGAGAAATTCTGCCTTAGGGTTCTAGGACGATTAATTTCAACTAGTACAGCTTTTACTTCTAGCTTCCCTGGCTATTTATTCTTAAAATAATCCTTATTGATGTTTTGAAAATTGCTTGGAAACTGTGTTTAAGGAGACACTGCTACTATAATTATAAAAATAAGCAGGGGAGGAAAAAGTGGTAGCTTAACAGAGTCATCTTGTGCAAATCACTGAGTCCCTTACCTAGAAATCCATCTCCCTGCTTTCTCTACCCATGGCCACCTTTCTAGCATAGGAAATCGGCTTGAGATGACACCTGAGTTAGGGAGACCCAACAGGAAACAAATGGCATCCTTAAATTGTGAACCTTTGAAGAGAGTTTAATAACTGACAGGAGTAATGGAAAACCAGTGGGACAGGAATAGTGTTAGGAATAGCTAGTAATGAATCCCCACTGCCACCCATAGGGCTGAAGGGGTAGAGTGGGGGTCAGTTGATGGCAGTGGAAGACAGGGCCTTCCTACAGGAAGGAGTTGAGGGGTTCATTTGAGCCCTGAGCCCTTCTAGAGGAAAGGCAAGGGAATAAGTGCCCAGGTGTCCTTTTTTTTCCTCCCTCCAGTCTCTTGTCAGGGTATTTCATTGCCTCTGAAGCTTGTTAAAGTAAAAAGTATTCTAACACTTGTTAAAACAGGAAGATTTTATTTAGGACTGTTGTGATAGGTGTCAAGATTATCTCTAGGGGAGAAAGTGAGAGCTCAATTCTGAATATAGCAAAGACAGCTGTGGACTTACGGCGGAAAGGTGGGGAGGTTGGATGGAAAACTTAAGACGCGACATCAAGGGTAGGGAGATTCTTGCTAAAGGCAGGCTAAGGTGATTGGGTATCAACATAGGAATGCTCTCTGAACTAAGTGCTAAAACTAGACTATGGACACCCAGCAAGGACAGGGGTCAGTGTCAAGGCTTGGTTGAGAATAGGACTGAGAAGAGCCTACTGAAGTTTGGTAAAGGAGTCTTTCTTAGGCTGTGCATACAGGGCAGCACAGAGCATAGAGGGATCTGGAGGAACCTAACAGGAGCTAATCTTGGGAGCTATTCCACTGAAATGTTTTTCAGCTGATTAATGAACTGCTGGCTCCTTTATAAAGAGGATAAAATGAAATTTGACCAAAATCAATTTCTTTGAAAGGTGTAATGGGAATTAACAGATTAGAAGGCTATGCCTGCCAAGTGCCTGAATAAAAGCCCTTAGAGTTGTAGGTGAAAATGGGAACACATTTAATTATGACACAGCATGCTTTGAACTTCTGTTAAATCCAAAGTGGCCTTCAGGGTTGGTCTGCTCATTTTTTTTGGAAATGCATCTAAAAAAGCTTTTGCAGTTATAATTGTCCTTGGAAGAGACAGGGCCAAGAGGATTAGCTGCTCAGGGATGTCAGTGGACTCGTATTAGT